TCTGATATGTATAAATACAAGTTAAATATGTATTAATTATATTTTTATATTTAATTATTGAAAAATATTGATTTTAATTTTATCATTAATATTGTATGTATATTTTAATTAAATAATTGATAAAATTAAAATTATTTTAATTTTTTAAGATAAATTAATTATAAAAATATAATAACTATATTTTTACTTTTAAGGTACATGTTAAAAATTTTCTTTATTTAACAATTCAGAGTGTTTGACTTAATTTATATGTTTTTTAAGATTAATTCTTCATAGATATATATAATAAAGGAAGACTATTTATATCCAAACTATAAGAATTCAAGAAAAAGGCATAAGGTGCAGATTTCTACATAAAATTATTACATTGAAATAAATTCTTGCTAAAAAATTATTGATGTAATTTGTCACTTTAAATTTTTATTTTCGAGAAATTAATTTAAATTTAATCATTATTATTACCATTTCATTAGATTTCAAAATAATAATTTAATGATAATTATAAATTTTAAACCAATTTCATAAAAAATATAAATTTAGAGTGATAATTAATGATTTTTTAAAATGGTAATTTACTTTCACATAATAATTTTGAAACACAATTTACATATTTAACTTAAGAGAAATTAACATTTTTTAATTTTTTTTAAAAATTAAATATTGATTAATAAAATAAACAATAAATTTCATTAGGATTTTTCTAACTTGCATCCTTAGAGCACAAATCAAGAGTGTAGTTAATACACGTTTTAGCTATTAATATCTGTAGAAAAACAAAAAAAGTTGATATTAATTTTAACATTAATGTCAAATGTTTTAATTTAATTAGTTAGTTGTTAAAATTAAAACCAAACTTTATTCTTTTCATATAATTTAATAATAAAAAATACATTAATTACTTTTTTAATTTATACCCTAAGGCAAAGGTTAAAAAGAACCATTTCATTATATTTTTTTTGTATATTTGAATGGATTATACAAGAAGTAGCAATCCTCATCTTTCCATAAATTCCTCTCATTTTCTTAAATCTTTTTCTCGCTTGACTTAAAATTCAAATTTGAAATCTCTAACTTAAAATCTCAAATTCTTAACTATTAAAATATCTCATTGGAGTTAGAACCATTTCATTATTAGCTGATCTACAATACAACTCCATTTTGTTTAATTGGAGTATAACTTGCGTGGTGCTGGTGTCCTTCATCTCAAAATTGGATGGAATTTGGACAGAAGCGACGTTAATACATTTTCTAATGGTAAGAAAGGACATGTGTAGTTAATTAATTATAAAGGGAGGACATGAGGTGAATTAACAGTAGAACATTTAAATTGAATTTTTTTGTATAGTAAAGGGATGATAATTAGCATTAACCCGTGAAATGAATATACAAATAGTCAAAAGATATGGATGATCTTCACACTGACACCAATCACTGAACCATAACCAAGGTTTGGAACCACCAGCACAAGCGAGTCTTCTTGCAGGCAAGGTACGGAATTTAAGTCTTACAGTTAGAGCACAAGCTGATGTTGTGCTGCAACCTTCATATCGCATATTTAGGGATTAGTTTTGAATTGCATGAAATTGAGGTAATTTATTGTAAATATCAAAAAAAAATAATTGAAGCATGATTTAGTTGTGAAATTATTTGCTTAGTAGCTATTACAAACATTACCATTTTTTTGCATTTCAGATGACAACATAATTAGTTAGAACTTTTGGGTCAAGATTATGTAAGTGCAAGACACTATTTGTGCAACAAATATTAATATATAGCTTCAATTCTCTATAAGCATTTTTATTATAAAACTATGTATGTACCGAAAAAATAAACTAAATATGTAATTTTGCCATGATATCTAATAAGCACAAAAATAATTAATGCATAAATAATTAAATTTATTAACATAAAAATGTTTAATAAAACTAAATTCGTATTATATTCATAGAATATTCATATGAACTAAAATATGAGCTAAACTTAAGTTTGAATCTATTAATAAATAAGTCTTGTATTATAGATCATATCTAAGTTTAAATTTTAGGATTAATACTTATAATATATTTGGATAAAAATCAATAAAGAATAAAAAAAAAAAGAAGGAAAAGAAAAAGAGAGGAAAAATTTAGTATTAATTTTAATTGGACATATTAAAATAGCAAAAGAAGGAGAGAGGAGGGAAAGATT